AGAGAGAGAGAGAGAGAGAGAGAGAGAGAGAGAGAGAGAGACAGACAGACAGACGGACAAACAGACAGACAGACAGACAGACAGACAGAGACATAGACAGAGAGAGACAGAGAGGGAGTGCGGGAAGTGCAAGAGTATCGTTCGTTGGCCTATTTTAAGTATTCATGGGTCAAAGGTTCAGTAAATCGTAGCCCGGTTTACGCCCTCTGTGTAGTCTAATGCAGGTTAAAGGTTTCTCTACTCTAACTTCCAGGTCGTCGGGTACAATAGCGGCGGGGTTGTAGTGTACATTGAACCACAAGAAAGCGACCCGACTCGATCGGCTACGCCACAGACGCCGTTGAGACAGTCCTAACGTCCGCATAATCTCTTCGTCTATCACAGGCGTTAAAACACTGACGTACTGACAGGTTCTTTCGCTGTCTAGATCTACATTGTATAATTCTGAAGGCGCAAAATGTTCTCTTTCTGCAGGTGAACTAACATAAAATGGGTGTGAGGTGTGGGTGGGCAGTTACACGCAACGATAAATAGTATCAGATTCGTCGTATGAGAGAATTGTCCGTTTTGTCGAACTGTGTTGTCTGTTAAACACATTCCAATCTACCGTCCAGTTTTCTATCGACTGAGGAGATTCCTCATCATAAAGCCACCATGTCTCTTTGCGACGACAGCGATTTGCCGGCTGTCTATGTGAAGGTTTCAAGCTCTGGATCTAATGAATGAAAGGCGAACACTACCTCTAGATCCCAGAAGTCCCCCCCCTTTTTTTCCCTGTACATTTTGATATAGCAGAACAGTGTCTTTAGAAAAGGGTGGCCATACTGTAGGCCTACCGTGTTGTGTGTAGAACCGGAATCTTTGACTTGACTGCAGATGTAACGCACCGGGTGACCTTGATGCACAGCTTCACAATTGACGAACAACTAAATAATAAAATTGCTAAAATATAAATAATAATGCACCAAATCAGGTACTTCGCAAACAATTTTGCTTATATTGAGACGCTGATTCCGAATATGAAATCAGTTTTTACGTACGGTAATTATTAACAAAATTTGGAGTCCTGGGTTCAATTCTGCGCGGCTGCAAATTTCAAAGTGAATCTACGTCACAGCGCGTCTCCCTCAAATCTGAACGTGATCGAACGAAAAATATCAAGCAGCCCTTGATTTCTCGACCGAGTCTCCAAACCATCGTTCAATCGTCCAAATTTTGTACAATTTAGTGGTTACGCCTAACGATTTATCGTATGATCGCTAGATCGTCCTGTTTTTGTACAATTTATCGTTACGTATAACCGGGCCTTTTTAGAAACAGATTATTCTGATGCAATTTTTCTCGACGCAAACCTTCATGGTTTGTTGGCGGACACCCTTAGTCTAATACGGGGTGCCCACTATGGATGAGTCGCCCGACTCGATTGCCTAAAAAATAAACGTGTTTGTTTTTAGTCTCTGGCGATCGAGTCGTAGTGGGCACCCCGTAGATTATAGCGTAACTCTAGATTCGGAATAATGTCCTTTTTAGTTTAGGTTAGGCTCAGGTATAATACTTATTGTTGTTGCTGTTGCTGTTGTTGTTGTTGTTGTTGTTGTTGTTGTTGTTGTTGTTGGTGGTGGTGGTGGTGGTGGTGGTGGTTTTTCTTCTTCTTCTTCTTCTTCTTCTTCTTCTTCTTCTTCTTCTTCTTCTTCTTCTCCTCCTCCTCCTCCTCCTCCTCCTCATCATCATTATTGTTACAACTTGAGGTTGAGCATGAGACCGATTTTGGGTTATGCTTATGGTATACAGATTTGAGATTATAGTATGAATTTAGATTGGGCATAAGGTTCGTGATATAGACAACACGATCGTTGGAACAGTAGATCAGGATAGCAGCGGCTGTCAGCCATAGTTAACGACGGATCGTTATACCGTAGCGTCAGAGGTCTCCGAAGCAGAGATGGCACCTCCATTCAACCAGCCAAGGTTTGTGATCTCGCTATGTGTAGTGATAATGCTTGTGGTCAGGATTAAAACTTAGTGGTGCGGAAGGTACCTGTGAAATCATTTAAAGTTGTGATTGTTTCTGTGTCCCTGTAAAATCACACAGAGGTGTATCTTTTATTTGCACCTGTGAAATCACATCAAAATGCGTTTGTTTCTGTTTACCGGTAAAATCACGCCAATGTGTGTTTGTTTCTATTTACCGGTAAAATCACACCAATATGTGTTTGTTTCTGTTTTCCTGTAAAATCACGCCAATGTGTGTTTGTTTCTATTTACCGGTAAAATCACACCAATATGTGTATGTTTCTGTTTTCCTGTAAAATCACGCCAATGTGTGTTTGTTTCTATTTACCGGTAAAATCACACCAATATGTGTTTGTTTCTGTTTTCCTGTAAAATCACGCCAATGTGTGTTTGTTTCTATTTACCGGTAAAATCACACCAATATGTGTATGTTTCTGTTTTCCTGTAAAATCACGCCAATGCGTGTTTGTTTCTATTTACCGGTAAAATCACGCCAATATGTGTTTTGTTTCTGTTTCCCTGTAAAATCACGCCAATATGTGTTTGTTTCTGTTTCCCTGTAAAATCACACCAATGTGTGTTTGTTTCTGTTTCCCTGTAAAATCACGCCAATTTGTGTTTGTTTCTATTTACCGGTAAAATCACGCCAATATGTGTTTTGTTTCTGTTTCCCTGTAAAATCACGACAATTTGTGTTTGTTTCTATTTCCCTGTAAAATCACGCCAATGTGTGTTTGTCTCTGTTTTCCTGTAAAATCACGCCAATGTGTGTTTGTTTCTGTTTACCTCTAAAATCATGTCAAAATGCATTTATTTGTGTGGAATCACGTAAAGATGTGTTTATTTCTATGTATCTGTGGAATCACGCTAAAGTGAATTTGTTTCTGTGTTCTCAAGTAAAAATGAATCCCGACAAAGAACTTGGACCAGCTGTTCCCACGACTTACCTGCCAGGAGTAGATGCTACAGTCCGAGTAGACACACGTAACAATGCTGTCCTTCTCGTCCACAGCGATGGCCGAAGTGACCACTTCCGGGATGGAGTCCACCTTGGGCCTGGTTTGAGGGCCGAGCATTTCATTGAGCGACACGGCGGCAACGATCTGGAGATTATCCGGAGAACAGATCTTGACAATTCCTTCTGGACACCCCAGGAACAGTAGATCCATGCCGTAACGCACGCACGTTAACTGGGTATCGATCTTGGCGGCTTTGTCAATTAGAATCCCCCCGAGTTTCATCTCACAGAGGTATCCACACGCTGTGACGGTGTACGCCTCTTTCTCGTGCTTACCCTTGCCGCTCACGATGTCGACGAAAGTATACTCACTCTGACACCCGAGCAATACTGCGCGTTTTTCCTCCAGGATGTTTGTCTCGTACTCTGTGGAACCAGCGTCTTCCATGGAGAAGAGAGTGATCTTCCGATGGCCGCACACGATCGCGTACGAACCGTCTTTGAGTATGGTCATGGCCCGTGGACTGGTCTGCCATCTCGACTGAGCTGCCTTTTCGCCTTTGATGTAATCGTAGACAGACACCATCAGATCCTGTGATCCCAGAAGAACTAAAAGCGTTTTCCTCGGATGGAAAGCGATAGCTCGCGCCCCTCGGGTGTGGCACACTAGGAACTGATTGACTTGCTTGAATTCTTTGACCATCCACACAGACACATGTGGTTTTAAGCCGCTTTCACCAAACGCCACGAGCCTATCGTCCGGAGAAAAAGCCGTGCAGGTGATGCACTGGGTCGTGGACGGTGTCTCGATAAATTTTTGTTCATGTGTTCTCGGGTTTAGTAAAACAAGCATGCACGCAGCCGGGAAGGCCACGTGGCCTGTGAGTTGATTGGAAGCTAAGGCATTAGGGGAGGTGCATGTGACCCCTAAGACATGTTCTAAGACGAACTCGTCAGAGTTGACAGTTTTGTTACTCCTCCCAAGGCTTGGGCTCACGATCCTTCTTTCGTCACTCATCATAGCTAGGACCACGTTTGGTAGATCCTCACAACAACATATTTTGCGGTTACTGCTCGAGATAAGAGAAGAATCGATTCTGAATATAAAAAAACACTTCTCCACAAGAGGACAAAACACTTGCGATATGCTAAACCAGACCCAAACCTGTTTTGGTAGCACACTTTGATCTATTTAGACCCATCTAGATCTAGATGTAGATCTAGATCTATCTAGATCTAGATTTTAGATCTAGGTTCTAGATCTAGGTCTGTACATTTAGATTCTAGATATCTAGATCTAAGAAGCTCTTGAGATGTGGTAGAACTAACTAGAGATTTCTTTCTTTTGGAATTCACAAAAGGCAATTAGTCCTGTTGGCTGTACCTGTCTAAACCCTCCTAAACCTGACTTCACCTGCCTGCTGCCAACCAAAATAAGTTGCTAAGATGTTTGCGAAGGAACTTTTCCCCTACTAATGAAATGGAGGGTCTGCCATTGTTTTTGAGATGTGAAATTGTAATGAAACGTCATAGCGAGAAATTCCCCGTTCGTCAATGACGCTTATCCGTGCACTATTTAATTATGTATCTTACTAGATCTATATCTAGGTCTAGATCTAATTATGACTTATTAAATGCGAAGTAGTAAAGAGTGTTGAAAGTGAAAGGGCTGAGAACTTGGTCTTTTTCCAGCGCAACACAAAAGAAGTGAATTTGATTTCAATGTAAGGGAATTTATTTCAAAGTATATCTCCGTCTTTCTGCAGGCATGCTGTGTCGAACTCTAAGTATGTCTTTGTAGGCAGTTTTTAAGCAGCCAACTTTAGTGTTGATCTGAATTGTGTCGAAAGGAATGCAACATTTATAATTTTTAAAAAAAGAATAATCAGAAGGCGACTACGGTATGCGTCATTCAATACCAAGGCTGTTTTGGGTTTAAGGAAGGGCAAAACATGCCAAACTTTGGACACGTGGCTCTCTTACCAGCAGGAATTTGGTTCTCTTTAGAACCGTACCCATTCCATGGCAAAGTTTTGCCCTCAGGCGATGGAGTGTGAGTGTGCTCAGTAATTATTTTTTATTTCTGTGTGCGCTCTCCAAGCTTGTGCATATTTATGTACCATATGCAGTTTCACAGGAGATGTGATTATGCTGGTGGTATATGAAATGAGTAGATTAGACAAATTAGACTGGCATGTAAGACAGACAGACAAACAAACTGACAGAAAGACAGATAGATAGATAGATAGATAGATAGATAGATAGATAGATAGATAGATAGATAGATTGATAGATAGATATATAGATAGATAGATAGATAGATAGATAGATAGATAGATAGATAAATAGATAGATAGATAGACAGACAGACAGATAGACAGAAAGAGAGATAGTAACGTGTTATTGAAAAGGTTATAAACTGCATCATCCACTGAAATATTGTTTTTATTGCTTTACAATTTACATTCAACATGTTGCAGTATCTGTTTCCAAACAAATTCTGAATCATTCACGGCTGAGAGGAAATCACTCTGCCCACTTAACATATCTTAGAAGAGAGAAGTGTAGCCAGTTGTAGGGGACATTTTTTTGTTGGAAAGGGGGTGGGGGGATGGAATTAGAGGTAACGGCTAATGTTCAGCAACTCTATCTTCCGTATCACATTTTATTTCCTTATTACTAAAATTGGAAACTGTGGTTACAGCAATGGAAGAAGTAGCGGGCATAGTCAAACAAGAAATAACCGTTACCTGCATCTGTTGTAGCAGTTTATAATGAGCAAGGGGGACAATATGGGATGTCTAACAAACTAATTGCGAAATGTAACGTAAATAATTACTCAGCCAAAACCAGCCAAGGCAAAGGGTACCGTACACCACTTTAAGCCCTCGTGAGCTTTCATGTTCTTGGCTACAGGGAAACATATTTGAGATAGAAATTTTAAGGCGGTCTCTGTCCTGTCTATATATCGTGTTGAAATGAATTTTAAAACCCTTCAGCAACATTCATTACAAGGTATGTTCAACTGTGGAGACTCCAAATTTAACGTCCATCTACCATAGGAATGAGTCAAATGGGTAAAGAACCTTAGAATCTCGTCCAAAACAACTCACATTCAGACTTGCCATTTAAAGAATCGAACCAGGGTTATCCAGCTCCGCAGTCCATATATCATTATACCAACTGAGCTAACGGTGTGCTCCCTTCAGCAATACAAGCAGCTGTGTAACTGTGACGTACTAAAGTCTGCACAGCGGCGCACGGGATAGACAACTTAAAGTCTCTCGATCGGGATTTAAAGCAGGACCTCTGTGTCTGCGATAGGCGCAATAGCACTTCAGTGTATTCGGCATATCCCTACATAATGAACAATGACAGCTGGGTAGACGTGCACTGTATGATTTGCAATCTGCTGCTTGATTCTTGAATGCTTCTGTATTTTGGATTTACTCGAAGTACTGAATAACCCTGGCCACGCTAATCTACAATCTAGTAGTCGATGTGTCAGTTTAACATCCCTTTCAACACTGTAACGTTATTTAAGAGGGGGACCTCTACAACGTCCATCTCTAACAGCAGTCTACCAAATAAGTTCTGTTCGGGATTCGAATCAGCCGTCTACCCTTAAGTCCCGCATAGTACCAACTGAGCTGACAAAACGCCTCTTTCATAACACCTAGTCGAGACACAACAGTCGTCTATTTCTCCAGAATCAAACGAGGCAGAACTTTGTTCTCTTTACTCAAGTTCACTCACCAGAGATTTGATTGAGTCAAAGAGACTCAAATTGGATCTGAACATAAACGTTCCACATTCTACACCGAGAACGCTACCATTGTGTCCAGGAGGAGGCGGCGGCCTGGTCCCGAAGTCTAGACCTAGGAGTCGTCATTGTCCGCGGAACAGGAAGGGGCGGAGCTCGGTGTCCAGTCAGTGTTCCGAGAACACCGAGATTTGATGGACTTCAAGAAGCGGCAGCATCGGTCCCTGAACGTGTTGTTGTAGAAGCCGTAGATGATGGGGTTCACAGCGTTGTTGATGAAGAAGGAGCGGATGAGGAAGTGCTGGGCACCAAAGTAGACCGAGTCCCAGCACATGAGAGAGGCGTGCTGAGACGAGTTGAGAGTTTTGAAGATCTGGATAACCAGATGCGGGAGGTAACTCAGGACAAAGCTTAACGTGACCAGCAGCATCATTATGCTGACTTTCGTCGAGAGGATTTCTTTGGCAATAGACTTTTTTCCAATAAATTTTGACAGGGATATCGCTATGCTAGCAGCTCGATACTTACTTCTTTGTCCAAAGGACGTGTTTGGGGATATTTTGTCGTTGGAGGTGTCACATGAGTCGCCATGGATGTGGAGCAGGTTGGGCTCACTGCTGGCAGAGTAAGCTGTGGACAGTGCAGCAATAGGCTCCGGCTGCTCTTCAAACGTAACGTTGTGGGAGCGAGTCACGGGAGTAAGTCGTGTGGCAGTGACGTAGGTTGACGAGTTGCTTATTACGTCAACAGGAATTGGCAATGTGTCACATGTGTTGTTGTCTTCTGGGTTATTTATTACCACCACCAACGACGTTCTTGTAGAATCACCTCGAGATTTATAATCGAAATTGGACCGAGACAGAGAATATGGCAATGTATTCGTTGTTGAAAAGGTCGGCTCGCAGAGTGACGGTTCACTGTTCCATCGGTGAACTAGGCTTGAACCTTGTGCTTTAAGAGTGTGATAGGAGCAGCTCTTGTTTCGCGCACTTTTGTGCAATAACTCAGTTCGTCTGAGAGAGTTTTGTTCTTGTGTACTAAATGACCTTGCCGTACTGACTTTTCTGCTGGAAACCCCTGTGTTCACACAGATCTTTCTAGAAAACGCGTCAAAGTCCGTGTCTTCTGAGACAGAGAGAAAGTTATTAAGACTCATGTCGCCCGTGGGGTGTCTCTTCCGCGTACCGTGCGGAGTGCCGGTCAGAGAGATGATCTCGTGTCCAGAGAAGATGTCGTCAGTTGAGTTACTCATCATCTGCTCGGACTCCTCAAAGATTGGATTGACATCACGCGAGAAAAGTCGGACGAAAGTATTTTTACTTGTGGATGAGGCGGTGGTGGTCTTTCCTGTATCACTGGCATAGTGATCTGGTTCTGTGGGGGGGCCCAGTAAAGACCGCCCAACGCCTGAAGTACCATTCCTAGATTTATTCTTGTCTTTCTGACCATGGCGTTTTTTCTTCATGCCCATGGCTGGAAGTTGGTGTGTACCTGAAAACGTTGAGGAATCTGAGTCTCTTGACAAGTTTACTTTGGATAAACTTTGGACAACTTCGGAGATGGACGCCCCATTTATTTTTGACCCACTTTGGACAGCATCGGAGACGGACACCTCACTCGGTGGAGGGTTAGCAGGCAGCGTTGAAGAGGCCGAATCTTTGTCCGACTGAACCTGCTGAACCCTATGGCTGATCGAGCCTTCGAGGGAGTTCGCAGACAATTTTTCGCGCCGTCTCTGCTGCAAGACGATCTTGTACAACACAAACCCGTATACCACCGCCAGGATCACGATACAGACAACGAACAACACGAAAAGGAAGAACTGGTAGGCGGTTGTGAAGGTGTCACCCTTCCAGGCGTCGTCGATGGTACACTCGTAGAGCACTAGACCCCGGATGAGGACCGTGCGCCGGCCGTAGAGCACCAGAGCGGGAGCGGCGACGACGGCAGCAATGAGAGCGAGACCCCCGACCAAGAACTTGCTCTCTCTCACGGACATCTGTCGGCGGCATGGTCTACAGATCCGACGGAATCGATCCACGCCCACGGCCACCAGGACACAGATGGAGCCACTGGCGGTGAACGTCGTGAGGAAACGGATCAGCTGGGAAGGAAAGAGAGAATAAACGAAAGAATGGTGTTTTAACGTATCGGTGAATGAATGAAACGTTTGATCAATGGATTTATAATTGGCTGATTGTCTGAATGGACGGGCAAAAGGAGCGAATGAATTAATTCACAATGAATGAATGAAATATTATATGTTAGAATGAAACACACCCCCCTTGACAAAGTGATGAAACTTCAGAATCATCTTTACACCGAGAGACATAATATAAAATGCTTTGAGCACGTTGTGAGAATGCGGACACAGAAGCCTTCCTCAAAGGCCAGCAATTTGAGATTCAATTGCTTCAAAGCAAGAGGAAAACCAAAGAAAAGATGAGTCAAAAACGTGAAAAAGACCCAACAAAGGAAAGTCATGATGATCCAAAATGCAGCACACATATCCCACACCCGACATTTGCATCTCCTTTCGACACCTTATGGTACACGTGAAGGAAAAAACTAAAAATGTAAAGTGCACTTTGTTAAGAAGGGATCTACTTAGCAACAAAAGCTTAATACAAATAATTATTTCGTGATAAATTTTTCTCTTTTGCTTATCAAACATCCGGCGTCTATGGTGTAGCAACTGCCTCTGAAATGTTCTAAATTGTGTCGATGTGGGTGTAAAACACCAATATAAAAACCAGCAATCTTTCGAACAATCACATACACCTTTAAAGATCCAGTGACACTTGAACATATAGACTATTGCCCCCCCCCCCCCCAAAAAAAAAAGAAAGAAAAAAAGAAATATCAGGTCGCTCAATGTACTATTAGAATGGCTTTCAATGATAGGTTTTTGTGATTAGGTAAACTCAATCCACAATTAATATTAATGAAGGTAGGTTACCTAGTAAAAATAAAAGTATAGTTAGCTGCAAGGTACCGCTTTGGACTACTTTACATCGCAACGCACTGAAGAATACATGTAGCTAGTAGGTAGTTGTCGGTCTTGGATGAAACCACAAACTTTTGTTATATAAAAGTAATATCCCAGACCGGGCACTGTCGTGGACACCGTTCTTTGAACTTCGGAGCAAAACACCTCGGTCATGGAAAAACTTTGCTACTCAAGTGCGCACCATGGAAATGCCAATGAAGATCAAAACACCAGCCAAGTGCACGCGGCACGTTTCTCTTTTTGGATTTTATTAGGTTCCAAATTGAGTCAAATGGTGCGCTTCACAATGAACCAGAATTACGTCAGAGTGCATAGTCTTGGTTATTATATGAGTCTATGGCACCTATTAACATTGCTACGCCCTACTTTACACCTCTATCGCACTTTTAATTACCGATAGATGCCGATTAATATGTGAAACGAACCGGAATAACTTTACAGATATAAAACTATGGAAGCTGCGAGAGGCCACATGTTTGACAAAAATGACACACTAAAAACGACAAGTCTTCACACACACACACACACACACACACACACACACACACACACACACACACACATACACACACACACACACACACAAACACACACGAAAAGAAAAATACTTTGAACATTTTAACAAAACACTCCGAATGGACCCAAACCATCTACATCTAGTGTAATTAATTTCTGGTGTTGAAGTTTGTTTTTTCGCCCCAATATTTTTTGGTATTGTTTTTTTCTTAAACATATTTTAGTGCATGGAAAACGTCTCACCTTGCAGTAAACTGAAATGTTCAAGGTCATGTCGTATCTTAGGTCGACAATCTCGAAGGGTATACAGAGGACACAACTGATGAGGTCCAGAGAAGACATGGCCATGATGAAGATCTTAGCAGAAGAAGCGGCGAAGCGAAAGCCATAGACAAGCAGCACTAGCAGGTTTCCAGGCAGGCCCAGGGCTACGATAGTCCCCAGGAGAAGGAAGGTCGGCATCTGTTGTCACAGTCCCACAGGGGTACAGTTGACCAGAAGGGGGGGGGGGTTAGGGTGAGGGGGGGGAGGGATGGATGGAGGAATGAGGGGGGGGGGAGGTAGAGGAAGGGGAGATTGTGGAGGGAGGGAGAGAGGGTGGTGGATGGGGAAGAGGGAGGGAGGGGGTGGGGTAGAGGGGGAAATAGAGCGGGGGGTAGGGGGATGGAGAGGGAGAGGAAGAGGGAGAGGAAGAGGGAGGGAAGAATATGACGTCATTTTCAATAAGTTTATCAATGACAATTTTGTCACCAGCGGCCAGCTGTTCAAGTATCAGCCTGTGCCTGAATCGTATTGCCGCCGGCCACCTGGGCAGTCTGTCATGTCTGCACCCCACTAACCATAACATTTTGTAAATAAACTCACTGAAAACTACAAACTATCGTGAAGTTGATCTCAAACTCAAGACACGGAGCTGTTATTATAAACAATTTTAAAATGAATGACGAATGACTCTCCTCTAGCTAGATTTTGAAGTCCACAAAAATAAACATGTTTACCAAGATTGCGTCCTTATTTTATTCGTCTTTTCATAAAGAAGACCGAAAACTATCAGTTTTAACTGACCGTGTAATTCCCCCTTAAAATGTATTGCTTCCAGCTGAACCGACAGTAATTGGCTTTGATCTTCCCACATTCATAATTTTTAATTACAAGGCCGACTGAGGGGCTAGACTGTGACTGCTCGCAAGCTGGATATGGCTCGAGGACCGTGGTTTGCCCCGTGCCTGCTGTACTACCTGTCCCCTCAAGATAACAGTTATAAGTAGTTTTAAATAGCAATGTGTTGAACGCAAGTTCTCGCTCAACAGCAAGCTCAATGCACTTTACAAACTACTGTGAATTATTACCCTAGCAGACCTGATGGCACTTTGAAACAATCTCAACTTCTTAGGAAGCATACAGTACAATATTACCATTTTATAGGCGCTTACAAGCTCTTTCGCTGTTTGAGAAAAGGTAAGATAATACTTTATAATCCCAGAGGAAAATTTTTCTTGGCTGTACAGGACCGTAAAAACACATGCAGGTATACATAAAAAATCTAAAGTATATATTACTCTAATTAAAATTCAACATGAAAAGAGAAGTAAAGCTGACAAAATGTACATATCACATCAGATGTATCATTCAACCACAAGCAGGAATTTGATGACAAGACCTCTGGAGTTATATACTCGTATATACATACTCTAAAGAGCAATACACATTATGTTTATTCTGACAATAGCCTTGTGCCGGATGGTAAAACACTTTATTTTATCTTTCTTTCTTTGTTTTGGGGGTATATAACTGCCCCTGCATGATCTTACAATTTACGTGGAAAGTGGGTGTGATGGGTCGTTTATAATGCCTTTTATCTTTGTTATAATTGTGGTGTTATACATTTCATCAATTCTAGTAAAATCATATCCAAAGATCTTGCTGGCTTCTTAACGGTTCTGTCAAATTTTTCTTTATCTTTCACCTTACAATTCCCAGCCCAGCAGCCAACACAAAACAATAGCACGCTTTCAATCATAGAATGGTGCAAAAGAGAAGGACATAATCTTATTACCAACACGGAATCTTCTTAATTTTCTTAAAAGGAACATTCTTTGATTTACTTTTTTATGCACAAGAGCAGCGTGGGGAAGCCAGTCAAGTTTGTTATCAATTGTTACGCCAAGATACTTGTGAGAGCTTACTACCTCCACTTTAATAAATTGTGGTTGCAATTGGTCTTTTTTTAAAACTCTAAAGTCTTATATTAATTCCTTTGTCTTTTTTACATTCAGTAAAAGGACGTGGTTATCACACTGATTTGTAAATACATTTACAGCGTCCCTGTATCCATTCTCATTTGTTTTTATAAGGCCTCGTAGAGTGGAATCATCCGGAAATTTTATTAGATTGATGTTTTTGTTCTCAAAAGTACTGTATAGTCGTTGGTGTTGAGCGTAAACGCGGAGTGGGAGAAGTGAAGAGAATTTGTGTAAAGTGCCTTTCTAAAAAGACACAACAACGTCGGGTCTGAGGCGTGAACCCCCGAACCCGCAGCCTCATAATTGCGAGTCCGGTGACCTAACCACTAGGCCAAGAGCAGTCACCTTGTACACAGTCTCCTGCTGCTCTGCCTCCAGCAATCGGCTCCAGAGCTCTGCATCACTCATGTTGTTTCCAGCTTCCTTCAGGTCCAGAGAGCAGTTGGCGCCACGCATCCTGGCTGGCTGGCTGGCTAGGCACAGGGGTCAAGGACACGGGGATCAGGACACAGAGGTCAAGTTTAAAGGATTAGGACACAGGACGCAGGGTTAGGGCATAGGGGTAAGACAAAGGGTCAGGATACGTAAGTAGTTTACCGGACACCGGATTAGATTATAGGACACAGGGTTAGGTTATTGGACACAGGTTTGATTAAAGGACACAGGGTTAAGTTTTAGGGCATAGGGAAGGACACAAGGTTAGGACATAAGATCAGGACTTATGGTTTAGGACACAGGGTCAGGTCACTGCTGGGCACAAGATCAGAATCTGGAATACCAACACAGATCAGTAATTAAAACTTCAGGTAAAAGTAGACTTGAGCACTCCAGTAAGAATATGCTGACCTACTGTGTATATTAAGGGGGGGGGGGTGTATTCACTCTCTGCAAGGTGGCTTGGGAATCGCTATGACCTTATTCTCAAAATACGGTTTCAAGATATATATATATATATATATATATATATATATATATATATATATATATATGTGTGTGTGTGTGTGTGTGTGTGTGTGTGTGTGTGTGTGTGTGTGTGTGTGTGTGTGTGTGTGTGTGTGTGTGTGTGTGTTCCAGTAAGAATACGTACCTAGTGAATACACGTAATCACTGATTATTTTTGTGAATACACGAAATCCCCGTTTCACTCAGGGATTTCACTTAATCATTGAAGTTTCTAGGGATTATGCGAAGTCCCTCATATTAGACCTATCATTTTACATGCTCTTACTATTGAGCATTCAGTGAATTCACGTAATAGCCTCTCCACTGTACAGTGATCCAGTTTGGTGTACCACAAACACTCGTAGTTATAAGCGAGCTTGTTTTGAACAACAAATATTGTCAAGAGCTCCCACATCTCAACTGGCCATGGTGGAAGAGACCGGATGCTGAAAGAACTACAAAAGAAATACATGCAAACATTTAAACTAAAGCCGTTGAGCTGTTCAAGTCACTGTGTCTAGAATGTCAAAGGAAACGAAAACAGCCGATGACGAAGGGTGTTGTCGTACGTCCAATATTCACCAAGGAGTTCTCGTCAAGGGGTCAGGTAGATCTTATTGACATACAAAGCATGCAGAGTGGATCCAGTAAGAAATGGATCATGGTGTACCAGGATCACTTGACGAAGTTTTGCATCCTTCTAGCCTTGACGTCTTAAAGAGCTGCAGAGGTCGCTTTTCATTTACTGGACATTTTTCTGCTCATTGGTGCACCCGTTATTCTACAAAGCGATAACGGATTCAAGTTCACTTCACAGGTCATCACAGAGCTGAAGGAAGTTTGGCCAAACCTGAAAATGGTGCATGGTAAGCCTTGCCATCCCCAAAGTCAGAGGTCGGCTGAGCGAGGAAATGGTGATATTAAAGATATGCTCGTACCTTGGATGGCTGATACTGACTCACAGGACTGGTCTACAGGCATCAAATGTGTTCAGTTCCGGTAAAATAATGCTCTTCATTCCGGGATAAAGTGCTCTCCATATTCTGCAATGTTTGGCTGTGGAGCTCGTGTTGGACTTTCTACTTCGACTTTGCCGGAGGAAGTGATTGCTCGGATGGAGACTGAGGAAGATTTTTCTTGCTGTCAATGAAAACTCTCTCTCCCTAACTGATGGGGCTGCAAACCAGATCCAAGCTACAAGCAATGAAACACCAACAGTTGGTGTTCTACTTCCAGTCGAACTTGAAAGCACATCAGCACAAGACATCGATCTACCCACAGGACCTTCCTTGCCCACAACAACACCATCAGCATACGATGTTGACAGTCATGGCTCCTCTGCTGAAAACCTTAGGGTAGAAGAACGCATCAAACAAATAAAAATGCGTCGTCGTGAAGCAGCAATTGCACAAACTTCCCATGTAGAAAGAATGGTTAAAAGAAGTCCTGTAGATATGTGAGCTGGCAAACAAGGAGACAACGTGTGTAAGCCAGTTCGACTTGTTGATCGAGGGAGAGGCGATCCTAGAAATATCCTTGGTGTCATAATTGACAGACGAGAAGACACAGACCAATATAAGATAGCCGTAAAAGCTGGTATTCTCAGTGGTTTGTATTCCAGAAATAAGTTCGATCTGTGCCCTGAGCGTCTTCTGAATACTGGCGACATAAACACCAAAAAAATTGTTTCACTGCGTTCGGCGGTGATTTAACAATCCTCTTCAGGTGAACAAGGCGTCACAAGATGCTACTGTACTCCTGCCAAAAATTGTAGTTCGAGGCGATGCAAATGCCGCAAAGCAGGGTTTCGGTGTAACTCATGCTGTCATAGCAGCCTCAATTGTTGTAACAAGTGACGACGTCGATGGATTTTAGTCTTAAGTTTTTAACTGAAAACTGAAACATCAACAATGGTGTCTGCCATTTAAAAATGAATGCTTTGTTTTTAGATTGTGGAGCAGGTGTGTATATGTGAGAGAGTTAGTTAGTTATAGTAGAGGGTTTTACGGCGCTCGCAACTGCATAAGGTCATATGAGCGCCAAGGGGTGGATGTCAACAAAGAAATCCTTACAGGAAATCAGACTTGCTCTGCTCATCTCACTAGCTTCAGCATCACAAAGTCTGCTTTGACTATTAAGGCACCCCGGAAATATCAGGTCACAAGAGAGTGACAAACATACAAGAGAAGTAGAGGAAAATGACAATAGTAAGGATTAAAAAAAGAAAAAGCAGCAGTTCCCTGTTGTACATCTAGATCAGGCACAGTTATGAGCGTGACATGATGAATCAGCCCACTTACAATTCTACTGTGCTTGAAGGAGGAATGTCCCCCCTTTGGGAATGACCTAAAGACACTACAGTCAGTGTGACACTGCCCCCGGGGGGGGATGTGTGTGTGTGAGAGAGAGAGAGAGAGAGAGAGAGAGAGAGAGAGAGAGAGAGAGAGAGAGAGAGAGAGAGAGAGAGAGAGAGAGGGGGGGGGGGTTACAGTATCTTTTACCGAACTGAATATTTAAGCAATAAACTTCTGCATATTACTGTAATGTCTGATCAGGGATTACGCGTAATTACTGTGACCATTTTTCAGGGATTTCACGTAATTCCTGAATATTTCTGTGATTACGTGAAATCTCCGAGTGAAACAGGGATTACGCGTTTTTACTGAAATATTCAGTTCACTAAATACGCATAGTATATATAATAACATACTGGTTCAAATTTGATTTTTACCGAACTTCATTCTATAATTTAAACCCAACGTGGTCTAGCAATATTGGGGGTTTTTTTGTATGGCATCTGGTTCAGTCAAATGCTACAGACAGAGAACTGGTGTCTGCGGTGTAGTCGTTAAGTCTTTCGTTGTTGCTCTCAGGAGACCTGAGTTCGATTCCCAAATGGAAAGAACATTATTTTATCCAAAATCTCGGTCTTTCTGCTGGTATGTTGCTTATTTCCCAGCCTGGGTTGACCCTGACAGGCCTCCTAAAATATGATCTAAACTGTGTTGATGGGACGGTAACAGTACCAACATAACATTTTTTTAATTAAGAAAAAATAGAGTTTGCACTACCCTGCCTTGTTGATTCACCTTTTCGTGGGATACGAGAAGTTAAGCGGAGATGAAGTTTTGGCGAGCTCAGAAAACCACTCCGCGCAACAGCCACTTGTGTTGGGCGACACTTACAGGTTTCCGGTCTTCTTTTAGTTTTAGAGTTAGGTCATATAAGTATAAGTGCCAAAGATTAGAGGTGTAACTAGAGAGAAACATAAGAAACACGAACAAGATGAAGACGGAATGAAAAGGACCATAGCTGTTTGCAGGGGGTGGCTCGTTGGGCTAAAAAGTGGACGTGCACATTATTAAGCTATCGCGTGCTGAAGAAAGTCAAGAGCATAGTAAATTAGACGGTGCATAATTGTAGGATCTTTGTTTTGGTGAGGGAGGACCTCGTGCTTTTATTTTCATTCTTTCTACTTGTCGCTTTAATTTCTAGTACTAAATTTGTTTGTTAGCTAAACATCAATTTCGTTCATCCTGTATTGGAACTGAACACTCTAGTAATAACTTTCACTACTCCACTACAAAACCATTCAAGGCAACACTCGTAGAACGGTCACGTTCACCTCCCTCAGGTTCACGGTCACAGAGTCACTTAAAATAGTGGCAAGGCAATGAACCAATCACAATTGACTTGAGCACTCCGCTGGATTGCTCAGGGGCTCACCTAATATTGGCAAAGAATAGTGTACGGTCTATCGCGTTTATTTTTTGTTTTAGACTGCCTACTGAGGGCTATGTTTCGGCACTACTCGGTGGGAGCACATTTGAGATGTGTCGTCTTATTAATATTAATGTACCGCCAAACTCACTACGAGTGTCGTCATCGCTTAGGTTATCCCCAAGAGCGATTTATAGGTCAGGTTACCCTGTTGAATATCCTATTATGTAAAGCTAAAGCGCGTGGACTTTGGCATGGTATAGTAGATGTTTTACGGCGCTATAGACACAGAAATGACAGTTATGGCAACAGTGAGGACCTTGTTTTGGTATAATATTTAGCTAGCGTTTGTTTCTTACTTCTTTTACTGTATTATTGTGGGTGTTTTACGTAATAGAACATTGAAAAATTATGGGCGGTACTGCACGACCGTGCTCTATGGACGAACCGCGCCTGGCTGTTTGATAGGAAAGGAGGAGCAAACCAGACCAGAGCACCCGCCAGCCATGCACGCACATTCCGTTCTTCATTTCACTTCCGTACACAATACACCGATAGAGGAAGATCTCGCCTCGTCGCACGGCTGCGAACTGCGAATACACGTACATAGTGTACAGGGGCGAAGGCTGACTTGTTTGACAGGGTAATCAAAGTGAAATGGGACCAGATAGGGCCTGTAGATATCACACAAGAATCTTA